CCCCCCCCCCCCCCCGGTACCTTCAGCAGTCTGTCCGTGGGGACGAGGAGCTCTGCAGACTGCTGGGAGGAGTGACCATCGCTCAGGGAGGAATGCTGCCCGGCATTCGGTCAGTCCTGCAGCCCAGGAGGACCGAGAGGCTCGCCGGATCTGACATCAAACTGGATCCGGGTGGACGGATCAGTATCTGTGGCCAGATTCTTTGGGTTTGCTGCAGGAGATCCTTCCTGCCCACAACTATCAGCATCTATAACAATTCTTGAATGAAACCGGGATGATGAGGTACAACAACACTTAATTTCCCTTTGGGATTTATATTTTTTAATTAAATTTAATTTTTTACTTTATGTTTTTGCTATTTTTGGGTGTAACTGGGACCTTGGGTACATAATTTTGTTCCACCTCATGTACCACATAATGACAATAAAGAACCTTGAAATTTGAACCTAGTAGATTTTCAAGACATTTTTAAAATAATTCAAAAGATCTCAATGAACTTATATTTGGATGTTTGTGTTAATAAAGACAAAGCTTTTCTACAATATAAAAATACAAAAACTACAAGTCTCTGTCATAATGTCCTGAATGAGCTGAAAATTGTGAGATTTCGATGGTTAAAAGTGCACAAAGTGAAGTGTACAGAAGCAGTAACGTGAAATGCTGACTCGGCACTCACACATCACAAACAGCCGTTTGGTTTTGCTGTTGGAGTGGAAATGAAAAAGCAGTGACTGTCACGAATCAGCTGAATATGATCCTCTTTACCAAAAACTGATGTCCTTGTGTGATAAAGCTGCCTCGAACTTCATGCCCGAGGAGGCCATTTAGTGTGATGTCAAACGTGAACATATTCTGACTGATTTCCAACTTCTTCGTCTCCAGAGAAACAGGATGCTGGAACATTTCATGGTCCAAAACTCTGGACTCTTCTACTCAAATTTACAGATGTTTGTTTAAAGATTTGGGCCATTCTCTAAAACATCACCCGTTTTTGTGATGGTTTATATTCCTAATCATAACTCCTAATGTTTATTACAACACCAGGTTCATTTAGTTAAATTACGTTTTAGTCCAGAATAAAACAAAGCATCGAGCATGTCAGCAGGTCTATTTTGTGACAGAAATATGTAGCACACTGTACAACACTATTAAATAAGTATTAAATCACATCGGCCTAAAACTCATTAACTTTTGGAGTCAGTCCAATTCAAGATGGCCACCACAATCGGTCAACACAAACTTACTTCAGTTAATTCAGTTAATTTAAAGTGAAATCCGTTGTGGAAGTAGCTGAGCGTAATCCCCAACACGTCCCCTGAGCATTATTCCATCTTCTGGCTCGTCAGCATCACACTGTTAACAAACAGCTGCAGCTGTTCCCATCAGAAGATCACCTCCCTCTGAAACTGGGCTGCGGAGGTGGCGGGTGCGTTCTTTCAAGGAATTCTTGGCCTTCGTTTCCCAAAATAATTACAAACTAACTAGATAAAATAATACAAAGACTTTTAGGCTGTGGTATCCACATGATTTTCAAGGTCAAAATAATATTTCTGAAAAAAGAAAAAGGCAGCTAATTATTAATCACAATAATAGTTTCCAGTTAATGAATAGCAACAGCTTTATAGTTGGTATGACCTAGAAACCTACACAGATTCTAGCTGAAGTTACATATTTTACCAGAGGTCTCTGAAGAAGCAGTCGGTCTCTCAACAATGCAGGAGCACGAATCAAAGTTGAAAACGTGATTCTAAGATCTAACCTTTTGGGGGCTTAGCCCCAGAACTGACAATGGCTCTTAGCTTGAACAACGCACCCCATGGTGTGGTTTGTGAGAAGCGCAAACGCTTATGGCACCTGGTATTTCCAGGTGGTCTTCCAAGATCAGACGAGACCGGGCGAGTTCATGGTGATACGGCCGTAAAGGAGGAACTCGGTTACATATAGGACATTTAAAGGAACGTAACAAAGACTACATCTATGCAACCACAAGTTACAGCAAATATCTACACACAAAACAAAGCACAACTAGCTTTAAGCATTAGCCTTTCATTTAATAATAATGTGTTATGTGCTGTCATCATTCTATGTTCCCATATTGGCTCTCTGCATTTAACCCACCCACCCCCAGGTGGAGCAGTGGGCAGCTATTGAGGGCACCCAGGGAGCAGTTGGGGATAGGTTGTCCTGCTCAGAGACACCAAGAGATGTACAATGACTTGAGATCGAACCTGGGACTTTCAGGTCCCGAGTCGGCTGCCCTGCCTCTACCCCATCTCAGCCCCCAACCAATAACCATTAACCAATAATCATTAACCATTAATCATTAATCATACAATGTATTTATGACAAAAATGGAGGGTTTAGCTTCAGATACCTTCGTACAGATGAACACGTGGTTGTCCAGTTTATCACTGTTGTATTCAGCTGATCATGGGGTTGGCCGCAGGTCTTTATTGTATTTACATTTTTCCAAACTTGGTTTAGTTTTTGAAGTGGAATAAACTGTGTTCCACTCTCTAAACGCTCAGGGTAACGCTGTCTGAATTACACGTTCTCCACTGACGACGTTTAACCATTTTTTCTGACAAATTTTCACGAAATCCCTATGACTGCAAAGCTGTCGTAATGCAAAACCCCGACAATGTTGTCACAGGAATAGGGGGTGCAGTCCTTGCAGGTAAAGGGCGTTTCACTTGGGGACAGATTGGGGTCATTGATTAGTCAGTTGCTGAAAAGCCTGCTGGATTGATTGACAGGTGGCGTTGAGGATCTGACTCGTGAAAACTTCATAGATGGCACTGGCCTGTTTGAGTGTCATCATTGATTCCATGTTTATTTCAAATGTGTTAAATTTGCGGTGAATCTAAGTTTTGAGAACAAAGCTTCCTTACAAAACCTTATTGATGGTTTCTTTATTTTCAGGGGAGCTGAGTTAAAATTTAGGGGTGCCCCCAAAAGGAGGCTACAGTCGCCACTGGTTGAAAGTAAAGACAAAACATTAAATGAAATATTGCGGCCTGTCACACAGTTGCCTAAGTGGACCTGAACTCAGTCCAAGACACAGAACCATTAATGATTTTTATTTTCTGTTTGAACAGGGAACACCGTCAGCAACCTGATTATGATCCTTCCTCCTATTTATGGGGCCGTCCAAACGTACTGGGATGGCCTCGAGTTTCGCTACATCTGCTCGTTCCTTGGACTTTTAGGTTAGTTCCATTTTCAGCATTTAGTCAAACATATGCACATTGCCACTGTTGCCTTCTTCATCATGTAAAGTTAATACAATATATTTATAGTGATCATTACATTACATACATGTGAGAAGATTATAACTTTTTATTTGTTTCTGTCTGTCTGTCTGTCTGTCTGTCTGTCTGTCTGTCTGTCTCTCTGTCTGTCTGTCCCCCAGCTGTAGGTGTTGGTTCCTGGTGCTTCCACATGACGTTGTTATATGAGATGCAGGTGAGCTACACGTCGATGACTATACACACACACACACACATATATATACATATGTGTGTATATGTATATATATGTGAAATGTGTGTGTGTTTTATGCACATATATATAC